GGTTCCTCCAGCCCTGGAGAGGGACCCCAGGGCTGGGAGGAGGTGAAGCAGCCCCAGAAACACCTCCCAGAAACACCTCCCAGCAACACAGCCCCATTGTGTGCCCTGCTCTGCTCCCAGCACCATCCCAACCCCGAGGTGTGACCGTGGAGAAGCTTCTCCAATACTTCTCCTCTCAGGGCTGGGGAGATGTAAGAGAAGCAGGACACCCCCCCCCTTTTTTTTTTCCAGCCCCAAAGGGTGGCCAGAAGCACCTCCCCCCATCACAGACCTAATGGTGGGGGTGGGAAATGAACCATTGCCTTGATGTGAACCAGAAGGAACCAAACCTTGACAAGCTTGAGAGGTGGGCCCAGATCAACCTCATGAAGTTCAACGTGGCCAAGTCCTGCAGCTGGGTCGGGGCAATCCCAAGCACAAACAGGGTGGAGAACAGCCCTGGGGAGAAGGACCTGGGGGTCTTGGGGGAGGAGAAGCTCAACATGAGCTGGTATCATGTGCTGGAGCCCAGAAACCCCCCCTGTCCTGGGCTGTCACCAGCAGCGTGAGCAGCAGGGCCAGGGAGGGGATTGTCCCCTCTGCTCTGCTCTGCTGAGACCCCCTGCAGGGCTGGGAACAGCTCTGGGGTCCCCAACACAGGGAGGACATGGAGCTGTTGGAGAGAGTCCAGAGGAGGCCCCGGAGATGCTGGGAGGGCTGGAGCAGCTCTGGAGCCAGGCTGGGAGAGTTGGGGTGTTGAGCCTGGAGAGGAGAAGGCTCCAGGGAGACCTTAGAGCAGCTTCCAGGGCCTGAAGGGGCTCCAGGAAAGCTGGGGAGGGACTTGGGCAGGGAGGGATGGGATGAGGGGGAGGGATGAAAAGTGGGAGAGGGAGCTGGAGGTTGGAGCTGAGGAGGGAATTGTGGAGTGTGAGGGTGGGGAGAGCCTGGGCCAGGTTTCCTGGAGAAGTTGTGGATTGATGGGACTGGATGGTCTGCAGCTCATGGGATGGTTTGGTTTGGAAGGGACCTTCAAGATCACCTGGTTGATCCCCTAGATGATCTTCAAGGTGGTTTTCCCATCCCTGGGGGTGTTGAAGGACAGGTTGGATGGGGCTTGGAGCAGCCTGGGCTGCTGGGAGGTGTCCCTGCCCATGCAGGGGGGTTTGGACCTAGATGATCTTGAAGGTCCCTTCCAACCCATCCCATTCCATGACTCTATGATGCCACGTCTGTGGGAACCATCCCAGCTGTGGGGCTGGTGGGGAGGGGAAGTTTTGCCACCTCGAGGTGCAGCTTTTCCCGGAGCTCCCGGGCGCTGCGACCCAGGAAGAAAGGGATGTTTGTTGTGTGTTTTGCAGAGCAGAACAATACAGGGAAAGACACTCACAATGGGAAATTGTGCTTCCTCCTCCCCGTGGGTTCCTCGGGGAGGTGTCTGGGAGAGAGGGAGGCGGGGGGGTTGGAACTGAAAGAGAAGAAGGAGGGAAGAGACAGTGACAGGGCAGGGAACGTGGGCACGGCTGGAGCTCCGCGCTCCCACGCACCATGGGGGCAGGAGCCAAGGGGAGGTGGGGACACGGGGCTGTGGGGACACTGCTGGGATGGTGACATGTAGGGGTTGTCCAGAAGCACCTGCTTGTCACCTCCTGTGTCCCCGTGTCCCCTCTTCCTGGCAGTACAAGAGCTGTGAGGTCGAGCTTTCAGCCCCGCCATGGGGTGGTTGTGACGGGGACGGGAGGTTGTGGGTGACAGAGACAGGGCAGAGAGGGTGACAGAGACAGGACACAGGGGACACCAGGGCAGGACAAGTGCTGGAGACCTTGGATGGGAACAGTGACACCCCGAAGGACGCGGCTGGGGACGGTAAGAGGCGTGGGACAGTGGGAGGGAGGGTTGGCACGTTCTGTTGGCTCCGTGTCCCCTTGCCAAGGGGGTTCCCCCTTTTGCACAGCAGATGTTGATGAACCCCAAATGGAGCCTGGGGGCCTCTAGGGCATCCCCAGATTCCAGCACTGCAGATGTCCCTCGTTGTGTCTTCTGGTCCCCACCGAAGCCAGGGCATGTCCCACTGCATGTCCCTGAGCCCTGTGCTCCACCCCCCCCAGGCACTGTCCTGCCCCCAGCTCTGAGGATGCATCAGCTTCTCCTGCTCAGCTCCTTCTGGCTCCTGGCAGCTCCTCCAGCATCCAGCATCTTCCAGAGGCCAACGGGGAGCCCAGGTAGGAAGCAGGGCCTGGGCTGGGGCCTGAGGTTTGGGGTTGGTGCTGGGGGAGGGAGGTGATGCTCATGGGGGGTCCAGGGGCTGAGCTGTGCATCCCAAGGGGGGAAATAAGAGAAGAGAAGGCTCCAGGGAAACCTTAGAGCAGCTTCCAGGGCCTGAAGGGGCTCCAGGAAAGCTGGGGAGGGACTTGGGCCAAGGGCAGGGAGGGATGGGATGAGGGGGAGGGATGAAAAGTGGGAGAGGGAGCTGGAGGTTGGAGCTGAGGAGGGAATTGTGGAGTGTGAGGGTGGGGAGAGCCTGGGCCAGGTTGCCCAGGGAAGCTGTGGCTGCCCCATCCCTGGGGGTGTTGAAGGGCAGGTTGGATGGGGCTTGGAGCAGCCTGGGCTGCTGGGAGGTGTCCATGCCCACACAGGGGGGCTGGATCT